GGATGAAGATGTTCACATCCTGGACAGAGAGGAACGATGGTTTGAGAGAGGAGTAAAGGAGGCCATCTTTGTGAAAAGAAATCGTCCATCATTAAACAGGGGTGGAGGCCTCCTGGTTCAACTGTCCCCCTCTTACAATGCTGTGATTGCTAGTATCACTCAGCCCTCTGTGAACAGTAAACAGCCATCAGGTGCTAATGATCCATTGTTAGGCTGATGGTCCTTCTTGAGCATGTGATCAGCTGGTTCTGGTTGTCAGCAGCAAACTGGTTGATCCACTCTGAGAAGGTGCTATTTAAGAGACTGAGCTGAATACAGCACCTCAGCCTGAGGAAGTCCTTCAGATGAGAGACGAAACGTTTCTACATTTTTTGCTTTGTTTTTTGAATGTCCAGAGGACCAGATTGAACTTTTTTGGATTTTTCTACCTGGATTATTGAGTATGCATCAGGATATTATGGTTGAAAACGCTTCAAAAATGTTTACTGTAATTCTTTTGCAGCTCTCTGTTCTGCATCAGTTCCAGCATCAGGTCTCTTCAGGTCATTCTCCATGATCTTGGTCCATGTGGAATGTTTGATCATTCTTCATGAGCAGAAGTATCCAGCTCATTCAGGTTGGACGGTGCTGCTCGTGCCCAACAATCTTTAAATCAAACCAGAGATTCTCTGTTGGACTGAAGTTTGGCCTTTGACCGGAGCATTACAGGACCTTTGACTGACTCCAAAAACCAGAGGAGTGTCTCTTCAGCTTTCTGTTTAGAGTCATTGTCCTGCTGGAAGGTGCACCTCCATCCCATTCCCAAATCTCTGGAAGACTCCAAGTTCCTCTCGTGATTTTTTTCTGCGTTTTGCTCCATCCATTTTTCCTGACAAGTATTCCTGTTCCAGTTGATGAAAAACTTCCACAGTATCCTCCATCTCCCAGCTCCATCAGACTTAAATTTGGCTTCCTGGATGTTTCTCTGCTTTATGCCATCGTTACTCACTTCATGGGTTTCATGGACAACCTTCTCTTAGCAGGTTTGCTGTGTTGGCATTATCTTCCCATTTCCTAATAAAGGATTTAATTGAGCTCCATGGGATGTTTGGGGTTCTGGGATATTTTCTGCACACAAAACCCGATCTGTACCTCTCCACAAATTTGTCTCTAACCTGTGTGAAGAGTTCCTTGGAGTTCATGCTGTCTCTTTCTCATGGTAATCCATACTGCTAAGAGCTATTGAACTGATGTTGGTTCTGGGGAATGTCGGAACCCCAATGCACTGTCACTACAACAATAAACCATCACAGCTTTACTAAAGAAGTTTTGTGCATGCTCAAAACAAGTGTGGAATAATCATGCTTTATCAGGCATAGTGAGAAGCCCCTGAAGACTTCACCAAGACCCTGCAATGACCATCCAGGTTCTAGCTGATTTTTAACATGGTAAAAAATGGTTCAAAACACCAAAGTCCATGCTCAATAATTCAGGTATAAAATCCAACAATGTTCATTCAGTCAGATCATCTGAACGGTTTCTTTTTTTATAAAATTGCTAAAAAGTATTTCATTCAGTGTGGAGGGAGTCTAAAGTATATTCAGAAGAAAGCAGCCAATAAAACACTTAACTATGTTACACCCAGTATGTGCTGAGGGGAATATTCACTAAAGAGAAATGTCTCTACATGATAACAACACAAACAAAAGTTTCATACCAGAATAAAAGATGGGCCACAGATACAGATTTAACATTTAACTTTAAATTTAACATTAAAAAGTGAACTCTGAAAACACAGTAAACTGAGTACTAGTTGGAGTTCTGCATGCTGTCAACTCCTAATTATAGATCTTTTCATATCTAGTCATGCAATCTAATAATATAAAGTGCATCAATAACAAAGGTCAGTGGTAAGAGGTAAAATGTTCTGTTCCTACCTGAATGGGGGACATCTGAGCATAACCTCTCCAGCTGAAGTCTGGGAACTCCAGGAGATTGTATCCAAAACGAACTGGCCGTCCATCCAACATGCTTCCTTCCTCAATCTCAAATTTTAAATGGTGGAGGTCTGGAAAGTAATGATCTGGACGAGGTCTGCAAACACAGGAACAGAAAGACAAAGCAAGTGCTGTCACAAGACGGAGTCCAAAAAAGACCTAATCTGTGGCACTAAGTCTGTATTTGTCATTGTAGCCATATTTATAAACTAAATAGATCTGCATTTAGTCAAAAACAGGTCTCTAATGTAAATGAGTCCTCGAGGCTCAATGAGACTAACCTGTATAAATAAAGGTTGAATGAATGTTACACATTGTGATTTGTTGGAAACAGATCCCAAAAAATACTGTAAGAAGATGGTGCTAAAGTCATGAAAGCCTCTGATATTTACTAGTAAGATTAACTCAAATTAATCAAAGAAAGGATTAACGGCTACTAGAATATTTAGAATGAAACAGCTTTTTAGTGAGATATCAAAAAGATTTGGACTAAACACCAAGGTCTTTCTTTTCACATTCACTGAGTGCTCTTGACCCAAACAGTTCTAGGGACTTTTGGAGAGTTGTAACGAGGATTAATCCCAGGACAGAGTGGTATAAAGACCCAAACACAGACCGATTTGTTGGTGTCTTTCCACAGTGATCAGTAAACACAACTCTCCCAGAAAATAAAACATGATATACTTAATGGCATTCTTCTTGTTAATTCCATGTACCAAGTCAAACGTTTTTCAAGATTCAAGGTTCAAGGTGACTTTATTGTCATTTGCATCAGATGTGATACATGAGGTGGAATGAAGTTGTGTACCCAAAGTCCCAGTTACACACAAAACTAGCAAAAAAAAAAAAAGAAAAAAAGAAGTATATAAAAAAAACCAGTATACAAGGATCTAAGATATACCCTAAACAATTATAATGGAATATAATATGGTATATTAAACAGCAGCCTGAACATGAGTCTGTTGTGAGCAGAAGGGTACTATGAATACATCAGCTTAAAGGCAAAAGATCAGCAGCATGGATAATCAGCAGTACAGATAAAGTTGCATATCACCAATTAAAGTGTCATCAAAGTGATTATTCTGGTTAGAGATTCATGAGTCTAACAGCCTCAGGGTAGAAGCTGTTCCTCAGTCTAGTGGTTCTACACTTAATGCTCCTTAACCTCCTTCCTGAAGGGAGCGGGGCAAAAAGTGTGTGCTGGGTGAGTGTGGTCCTTCATGATGCAGGTGGCCCTCTTCCTGCATCTGGAGGTGTAGATGTCTGTGATGGTGGGGAGGCTGACTCCAAAATCTTCTGTGCAGCCTTCACCACTCTCTGCAAAGCTTTTCTTTCTGC